GCACGTTCTTGAACTTGAATTGTAGCCTGTTGCTTCTCTAATAAACCCCATAATCTGTGAGTTCTGTGTGACCCCTGCAGCGAATTATCAAACCCAGCGGAGAGGTGGTAGGTGCCGTGAGAGGGATGGTTGTTGTCAAGGTTGGTGAGAGGGCTGGAGGGTGGTGCCATGTCTGGCCTTGGGCTGCTGGTGGTGATTCTGTCTTTCTCTTGTGGAGTTAGAGGAGCTCAGAAGATACCGCCTCCCTGTCCCTTTAGCAATCAGTAAGTGTTTCAAGTTGCCTTCACTTTCAGCAAGGAAGGTTGTATCATCTGCATATCACAAGTTGTTAACGAGCCTTCCTCCAGTCCTGATGCTGCATTCTTCTTCATATAGTCCAGTTTCTCAGATTACTTTTTCAGAAAACAGACTGAATAAATATAGTGAAAGGATACAACCCTGATGCACACATTTCCTGATTTCAAACCGTGCAGTGTCCCCGTGTTCTGTTCAAACTATCTCTTGGTTTAGGCATAGATTCCTCATGAGCACAATCAAGTTGTTATGGAATTCCCATTCTTTGGAATGTTATCCATAATTTGTTATGATCCACAGAGTTGAGTGCTTTTGCATAGCCAGGTAGACATCTTTCTGGTGTTCTTTGCTTTCAGCCAAGATCCATTTGGCATCAGCAATAGTATCCCTTGTTCCTTGTTCTCTTCTGAATCCAGCTTGCGTTTCTGAGAGCTACCTGTCAATATACTGCTGCAACCATTTTTTAATTATCTTCAGCAAAATTTTACTTGTATGTGATATTAGTGATAGTGTTCAATAATTTCCACATTCTGTTGGATTACATTTCTTTGGAATGGGCACAAATATGCATCTCTTCTAGTCAGATGACCAGGTATCTGTCTTCCAAGTTTCTTTGCTTCCAAGTGAGTGAGCACTTCCAGCACTACATCCATTTGTTGAAACATCTCAATGAGTATTCTGTCAGTTCCTAGAGCCTTGTTTTTCACCAATGCCTTCAGTGCAGCCTGGATTTCTTCCTTCAATACTGTCGATTCTTGATCACATGCTTCCTCCTGAAATGGTTGAACATTGACCAATTCCTTTTGGTACAGTCACTTTGTATATTCTTTTCATCTTCTTTTGATGCTTCCTACATCATTCAGTATTTTCCCCATAGAATCCTTTAATATTGCAACTTGCAGCTTGAATTCTTTTCTTTAGTTCTTTCAGCTTGAGAAATTTGAGCATGTTCTTCCTTTTTGGTTTTCTAACTCCAAGTCTGTGCTTATTTCATGACAGTACTTTACAAGTTGTCTTCTCAAGCTGCCCTTTGAAATTATCTTTTCATCTCTTTTGTTTCAACATTTCTTCCATTTGTTTCAGCTATTGTATATCTCTTCTGACATCTATTTTGGTCTTTTCTTTCTTTTCAGTATTTTTAATGACCTTTTGTTTTCTTCATGTATGTGTTCTGGATGTCATCCCAAACTCAGTTGGTCTTCTGTCATTTTTATTCAGTGTGTCAAATCTGTTCTTCAGATGGTCTCTAATTTCAGGTGGGATGTAACCAGGGTCATATTTTGGCTCTCGTGGACTTGTTTTAATTTTCTTAAGCATCAGCTTCAACTTGATATGAGCAATTGATGGTCTGTTCCATGGTCTGCTTCTGACCTTGTTCTAACTGATGACATTGAGCTTCTCCATCGCTTCTTTCTACAGATGTAGTTGATTTGATTTCTGTGTGTCCCATGTGGCAAAGTCTAAGTGTATGGTTTCCATTGGTGTTGTTTATAAAAGGCATTTGCAATGAATAAGTCATTGGTCTTGTAAAATTCTATTATGCGATCTCAAACACCGTTTCTTTCATGAAGGCCATATTTTCTAACTACCAATGCTCCTTCTTCGTTTACAGCTTTCACATTCCAATCACCAATAATTATCAATACATTTTGATTTCATTTTGGTCAGTTTTAGTCTGCAGAACTTACTAACAATCTTCAATTTCTTCATGTTTGTTTTCTTTTTTTTATTTTTTT